GGGAGCACCGGCGATGGACCCGTTGGGGGGTGGTGGGGGGGGGGGGGGGGGTCACCCTTCTCCTTTCCCCTATGGCTCATTCCCACCAGCGGGGTGGGAGAGTGTCCTGACACCTGGGGGCAGCCAGGGGGGGTTGATTCTACCCCCAACCCATGCTGCAAGTTTGTGGGAGTCGGCTCCCACCACGCACCTGAAGCCCACAGCTGCAACGCAGGGTGAGGAGGTGAGTCCGAAGGAAAACTCTTTCCTAGACCCTCCAGTGAGCCCTCCCACAGCAGGGCTGGATTTGAACCCGCAGCCCTGAGACCGGCCTCATGCCTGGGGCTGTCCCAGCCTCGGCAACACCCCCCAGGGCTCTGTAGCCTCCAAAAGACCCCCTATCCCCCCAGAACCAGCTACAACATGGCTGGACTGGAGAGGCAGAGACCCCAGCGGCGGGGAGGCGTAGAAAGATCACAGGGAAAGTTCAGGCGTGTGTTATATACCGGGAAATACGGTAAGAGCAATCATTTGGCAGGGGGTGGGAGGAATAGGAAAAGCAAGGAGGTGGGGAGACCCCAGGAGGGAGTGGGGTAAGGTGGGGAGCAAAGACCCCGAAGGAGAATGGGGGGATAGGGAGACCCCAGGGGGCCTGGGCGCGAGGTGGGGAGGGGCTGTGCTTGGCTAGGTAAGCAGCAGAAGCGGCTCTTACCGTTTTTCTCTGTATCTAAGGTGCCAGGAGGGGGTGGGGGAACAGCCCTGGGAGCCCTGCGATGAGGTGAGAGAGGGGAAGGGAGTCAAGAGCAGGGGGTGGGGGGGCGCATCAGCCATTCCTCCCCCAATCGTCAGAGGCGCTGGGTTTTGCCTTTTTTAATAACCGCGGGGGGGGGGGGGGGGTCATGCCCCCTTCTGGGGGGTCCGGGGGAGGACTTCTTACCCCACCCCTTAACGGGGCAGGGGAGCTTGTTTGTACCAAGGGGGGGGCTGCCCGGGGGGGGGAGGAGGGACCAATTCATAATTAACGTATGTACCACCAGGGGGCAGGGTTAGCACAGCCTCGCCCCCCAATTCCAGGGGACCCCACGACCCAGCCCTGGGGTGGGAGGGAAGTGTCCCGCTCTGAGGAAGCTGCACGGGGGGCACTGCTTTACCCCCCACCTTACTGTTAGGGGCTGCAAAGAAGAGGGGGGCAGGGAAAAGGGTAAGCCAGGCTGAGGGGGAGGAGCTGGGGGCGGAGCTGGGGGCACGCTCCTCCCCACAGGACCCACCCCCATGTAGTGTAGTCACTGACACGCTTTCACACATGCATGTGCACGCACCCACTCCCACCGTGGGCCTGGCCATTTGCACCCCCAAGGGTCTGGGGGGTGGAGGCTGAAACTCCCTCAACTTGCTGCAAAGGCTCAGGGGAGCCAAACCTTTCCCACAATGCACTGAGGCCACAGGTGCAATGCATCATGGGAAACACCCCCATGTAGTGTAGTCACTGACACGCTTTCACACATGCATGTGCACGCACCCACTCCCACCGTGGGCCTGGCCATTTGCACCCCCAAGGGTCTGGGGGGTGGAGGCTGAAACTCCCTCAACTTGCTGCAAAGGCTCAGGGGAGCCAAACCTTTCCCACAATGCACTGAGGCCACAGGTGCAATGCATCATGGGAAAGTGAGTCCAGCAGAACACCCCCGCCACACACACACAGAGAGCACACTTTCCCATCCTCTTCCAGGAGCTTGGGGGGTGGGGAGGAGGAGTCAGCCTCAGCCCCAGGGGG